AGGATGAAATTTTCAAATCAGAAATGTGTATTTTCTTCAGTGAAACCATTTTAGTTGAACACACACTTAATATTCATTTTTTTTTCCCACTTTTTCTTAAGGATCAGGGTGCTGGAACCTATTTTTTATAGTGGTCTATTGGCTAACAAGGGGACACACCCCGCATAGGTCGCCAGTCTAGTGTTAGAACATAAAATATTTCTTTTTTTGTTTTGTTTTTATGCTTTATTTTTCCTTTTTTTATTATGATAAGCAGCGAGCCACAGATCAAACAGCTTAAAAAAAAACTTTTGGAACACCAAATTATCACAAGAATGTTTTGATTTTTGTAGCTGAGAATATGCAAAATATTTTCAAATTCTACAACATAGAAAACATTTGATCACAGATTTAGGCTACTGTAGACTTCTACTTAAATATCTGAGATCGGATCCTTAATGGAAGTACAAACCTGTGTTTTGATTCATTTCTAAGCAGGTTAATAAGAAAATTTATCACAATAAAAGGATTTTGTATTTGAAATAACGAATCAAACAAACCAAAGAGCCCTGAGTACCTTAAGGTTGTTATTTTACCTTTTAACAGCTAAAAGAATATAACAGAATATTACAGCGCCTAGGCGTTAAAATAATGTTTCTATTAGTGTGGGAATTTGATATTTCTTTACTTTTAATCAAATACTTTAAAAATCCAAATTTCAAGCCAAAAGTGTTATTGGAATTCAGGACAAGACCCTATTACCTTTGTAACATTAAAAAATATGGATATTTTGATGGTAAAAATGAATGTCAATGTAATAACAAGAAACACCAACTTGCCTGAATATACTAATAAAAACAACAAGGGTGCTTCTATAAGAAATTCCTGAAAAACACTTCGAGAGGGAAAAAATCCAACATAACCTTAGAGGCATTGATGCTGATACTGGCATATACATTTTTTAGTTTATAAACATAAATATAATTGTTTACTAGGCTTATTAATTTTTAAACTTTACCTTTTAACCTTTCAATTAGCTTTTTACCTTTTTTCCATGACTTAACTTTTTCTTTTTTTTTAATTTAATTTACAGTAGGTAATATATCATTCAAGGGCTCATCTTATTGGTCAAATGCCCAAATAAGATGT